ACTCGCCCAGCTGGGGCTGCCGGCGGGACGTGCGCTGCACCGAGGGCTTTGCGGGACGGTGGTAGTTTGGTACGTGAAACGCTGTGAGTGATCTGCCAGCCTCGTTGTGCTCCTCATCGCTCCTCGGGGCATTGCAGGCCCCAGGGCGCAGTGAAGTTTACACAGATAGATAGCTTCCTTCCCGTGCTCGGCTGTCAGAACAAATCCCGGCTCAGCTGCGTTGCTCTTCTGAGTTGCAGCTTCTGGGAGTTTCGAGGTAGATGTAGGTTGACACAGTTCCATTTACTAGAAAACGTCCACAAGGTGTGTGTTTAAGAAAGTAGCACTGTGTCAGGTTGGTTGTGAAGTGATAATCTGTGAGAGAGCCAAATGTAATGGCAGGTTTGTGTGAGGCAAGGTGAAAAAACATGGTAGAAGCATTTAATAAAATGCACTATTCGAAGATGGTTACCTTTTCCATAGGCTTCGTATATTCTATTAATTTTCTCTAGAAATGGCTCTTTAGATGGGAAGGAGTGTATGGTTGAAGAAAATAGGGTTTACAAAAACTCATCAATAACAAACGTAATTTTTAGTATTCCTACGTAAAGTTTCAGCTCTGCTTTGGGTAGCGGACAGCCCAGGACGGTTCAAGTGATGCACAGACTTAGGGAGTAGTAAGAACTGTAAACAGGGGTATGATTGTGTGTTGCCTGTCCTGTTCCCTCCTCCCCTCCCCATGCCCTTACTGCCATCTTGCTGCATGCTCTGTTTGACTGGAACGTACCTGTTGGATGTAGGCAGTTTGTGATAGAGGGTTGTTCTCTGGCTTGGCTGGTAATTACATCATTTCAGTACCAACTAAAAGGAAATTTGAAGTATGAATAGTGAAGTTTTTAATGCATTTTTAATGGGCCTGAAAACATCACCCAGATGAAGGTAAGGCACTTGGGTGGCTGGCAGTGACAGGTGCCTAAAATGAGGCTAGAATCTGTAGAATATGTAGAAAAATGGAAGGGGGGTGTGTGAGGAAGAAAAAGGTCAGTTAGAATGTTTTGGTATATGCTTTAGTAGCTTCCAGTAAATTCAGTCCAGGACTTAACTGATGTGCTTAGGAGTCCTGCTGCAGGGTAATGTTTAAGGCTTAAAGCTACACTCCAGAAGGCAGACTTTGTGTGTGTGTGCACTGCATTCAAAAACATATGAGGTGTGGGGATTTTTTATTGTCAGGATGGTACTGTGTCTGAAAAGTGCTGACAGATACAGAAATCTGTTTATTCATGGTACAGGTTTGGTTCTGTAGTTGTTTTTGCAGCTGATAATTCTCACAACTCTGGTGTATTTTATTTCTTATCAGCTTAAGTGTAAGTATTTGACAGCTGTGCAAATGACTGTAAATGAAAAAGCAAATATGCTTGGAACTGTTTGTTAGTAGCTATATTTGAACTAAAAATGTTGACATTTGTAGGATGAATGTCATTTTTAATGAGCAGTGTTATTAGAGAAACTTCAGTGTTTGATATCACGCTTGCAGTGAGGCAGAAATAACATGGTCTAAATGAAGGTGTCCCTGCTCATTGCATGGGGGTTGGACTAGAGGATCTTTGAGGGTCCCTTCCAACCCAAACTACTCAAACATTCTATGATTTGAATGTAAGCATTTGTTTTGTTTTCTTTTGTTTTTCCTCCTCCCCTTCTTCTTTAAGATATTTAGATTCTGCAAATCAAAATGCCACAGAAACTTTAAAAAGAAGCGAAATCCCAGAAAGATGAGATGGACCAAAGCATTCCGGAAAGCAGCTGGCAAAGAATTGACAGTGGTAAGAAGCTGACCTGGTTCACACTTGACATTAGCTCACTAAAATGGCAGAAATCTAGCCTCTCCCAGTTGCAAGCAGGGTAGGTCAGTCAGCTAAATGTGTCATCATTTAATTAGATGAGCACAAGGGATGGAATAAATAGAGAAAAGAGGCATTGTGGAAGAGGATGTGAGAGTTTTCTTCAGAGTGAGCTATTAATTTGTCTTGACGGTAACTTAGAACTTCCTGTTTCAGCTTTCATGTGGAAGCCAGTTTACCAGGTGTCTACATCAGTAATACGTGGTGGTTCCCACGTCAGAGGCATTTTTTTCTCTCTGTAAATGCCTTACTCTATGTACATACACATTTGGTAGTTGTATTTCTGCACAATCAGATAATCTGGGTTAGTGGGTAGCCCTGGAAGTGTCTGTGTAGATACAATGAGGTGGTTACCTTCTGGTGTCTCTTTAAAGTCTACAACGTATAGAAAAGTCCTTGTGTAGATAGGAATGTTTCAAAACCAGCATATGAGATCATAAAACCGATTTAAAGACAAAATTAGTTCAGTGGTAAAAAATCCTAAACGCTCATATTTGGTGGGACAGTCCTTAAATAATTCAAGAATTACTGTGACTTTATTACCTGGTTTTTGACAGGATACCAATAATTTAGTAAGTATTTTGATACTGTGATTTGCTGCCTTTTGTGGATCTTCCAAGGGGAAGAATGTGATTTTATTTTGTAATGTGACTGAGAAGCCATGATTAATTGGCACCTTCTGTAATGGTATTTCTTGCTTTCAAGTTGTTTCTGGCTGAGTTAAATTACCTTTTTTGAAAATAAATTAATTAAAAATTCTTTTATACATGTCTAAATAGGTGACAATGTGCTCCAGTTTTGAGATAATAGCTATATATGCTAAGAGTTAAATCAATATATAAACACAGTGCTTTGTTGAAGTTCAGTTGGTATCCATTCTTTCAGAAGCCAGCTTTGGGGAGAGTGTCTAAATAGGCTTGTGACAATGGGAAATACTGTAGCTTGTTGGAAGGTGGCAGTTCTTGTGGCTTCAAGCAGTACATTGGATAGGGGTTAAATGTACATACTTGTTTTCCAGGGTTTCAAGTGTTTTGTGGGTTTTTGTTGTTTATATATATATATATTTATTAAACAAAAAATTGAAGGAGGACATAATCTTGCCAGCTGTTGTTCACAAGGTATTTCTGAAAGACTGCCTTATTCTCTCACTCAGAGTGAGGCAGAGTCAGTCAGTCTGTCCCCTCATGTTTGGAATGGAAAAGATCCACTGGCCACTGTGAGGCAGGGGTAGATTAGGAGACTCTGGCACTTTGAACATCTGTACTCTTGTGAGACTTGTTTTTGCTGTTTGTGGTGTGTTCTCATACAGAGCAATACTGTATATCATACATACGTAAAAGGTGACTTGACTTAGGATGAACTGCAGTGAATTGCTGTGGTGCTATGTCATGCTTGGCTAAAAATGAATTTTAGGTAATTTTAAACTTTTTATGAGAGTAAGAATGGCATGTACATGTTAGTGTACTCTGTGCCCCGCAGCTGATATTGGGGGTATTTTGCTTAGTGCTATCCCCTAGTGAAAACTAACATTCATCTGCCAATGGAGCATGGCTTGTGAGTGCATACATGCCATTTCTTGCTATTCTGTGTAGTTTCTCTCTTTGGAGCTGTCTTTAGCTCAAGTGAAGATCAGCAGCTGGTCTAATAGCTCTGCTTCTCCGCTACAAGAGGAAAAGTCCTCACATAAATTTGGATTAAAGCTGAGGATGCCTAGCAAAAAAAAAAAATCTAAAATGAGGAAACTATTTTTCCATCTTAAGGTCTTGGGGAAAAAAAAACCAACAAAAAGAAAAACCTCCAGCCGCCCCAAACACCAGGGTCATTGAATGAAATATGTAACAATTTTGGATGATTTTGTATTGTTTCAATATTCTTAAAATGAAATAGTTTTGGGGTTTGGATGGTTTTGGGTTTTTTACCCTTTTCAAAATGACAGGCTCTTGAGTAGAACTTACTTGACCTGGATTAAAGGCTTTTGGCTCTACACGTTTTCAATTTTGCCTTCTACCTGTCTGTTCTACTCTGTATTTCCCAGTCCACATTCATCTTCTCTGTTCCTTTTGACTTGCTAAAAGGAAAATAGCTGAGGGAATATTTCTCTTCAGACAAATCACTGTGGCTTCTGACACTTTGAGGTCAAACACTCCACTCTCTTTCCTTCTAGTTTATAGTAATCCCTAAAGGTTGTTAAAGTACAGAAACTGAGAGTCTGAAAGGGGGGGAAAAATACCGTGTAAAATACCAAGTTATATGAGTGAGTGCTATAGTAAGAATGTATTGATCTAAGTATGCTTTGTATATAATCTATATTTACTTTTATATTACCTTTAATATAGGATAATTCATTTGAGTTTGAAAAACGTAGAAATGAACCAGTGAAATACCAGAGAGAGTTATGGAACAAGACTGGTGAGTCACTGTAGAAAAAACGAGAGATGAACTGTGGGGAGTGAAGTCTCACTGTACATGAAAATGTTTTCAGAGGACTTTGTAGAGACACTTTGTATGTGAAATTATTGGGATAATGACCAAATTCTTACGTGTGGAGGAGGTTTGAGTTGTGAAGAGATGGGGAGTTACACTTGTTTGGCTTTTTTTTGGGGGGGGGG